CTCCCCTTGTTGGGAGCCGACCAACAGCTGACCTTTGACACAGTCAGGTCGGGTCAGACGCATCTGAACAGCAGAGGCGACTGTGGTGGAATCTCCTGTCTATCTCCTCCTGTATGCCTGTCCCCGCTAGCAATAGGTGGTGGGATTTTTAGATACCTGTGTGTTATAACAAAAAATCTGCACGATGCCTCTGATTCTGCACCAAATGACTTGCTGACCACAGAATAGAGACCCCTAGCAACCCTGATGTTGCCTGCTTCCCCCACCTGGGAAGTTACAGACAAAATTATACTATGGGCAGACCAACTGCCAGAACACTGAAGGAAGCTGTTGCTAGGAACGTTTCTTAGGGAGTCACCACTTAAAAGCTTAAGATTTATTAGAGCCACTACCCCTCCCATACCCTGGACGGGAGTGTATAGAAGCAAGGAGTTCTAGTTGAAAATAATAATCTCAATACATGGAAAGGAACACAAAACATGCCCCCCCCAAGATGTATAAATAAAAAAACCTAGGCAAAAAACCAGTTACCTAACTGAGATAAATTTAACCTCAACCGATAATAGTTGATTTCTATATACCTACAAATCACCCCTTGCACCCTTTTAATTTAGACCAATTCCTAGAATCTTAATAGACACCTAGTTACTAATTGGCACCTGAAAGTTTGTGCCCATATAGCTTCGTTGGCTATCTGATTAATGACCCTCTTGGTCAAAATAAACTTTGTTTAATGTGGTTGATCTGTGGGACCTCCTGTACTTTTCGGTTACATCTTTGTTTAACATGATTGATCTGTAAAACCTTTTGTGTTTTTAGAAATTATTTCTGTGGTAACTGTTTCTGTTTTAATAATCACATTATGCATTGAATGTTGTATACCCTCCCCTATAAAAATAAAGATTGATTCTTCTTGGTGAGTCAGTCGGGCCCCAAAATCCTGGCTGTCCTCTGGCACCCCACCGGGTGTCTCGCTTCAGTCACTTAGCCTTAGTCGTGCATCCTTCAGGGACCCTGAGACCCCACCAAAGCTGGACCCCGGATTCCCCTGTTGCCAACATCACTCACCAGAGTGGTACATTTGTTACAATTGATGAACCTACACTGGCATAGCATTACAAAGAGTCCATAGTTTATTTTAGAGTTCAGTCTTGTTTTTGTGCATTCTGTGGGTGTGGACAAACGTACAATGGCATGCATCCACCTCTGTAGTGCCCTACAGAATCATTTCACCGTCCTAAAAATCCTCTGTGCTTTGCATATTCGTCCTTCGCTCTCCTCTGCTCCCTAACAGCCACTGATCTTTGCACGGCCTCCAGAGTTTTGAGTTTTGCAGTATGTCATAGAGTTGGAATCATACTGTACATATCCTTTTCAGATTGGTCTCTTTCACTCAGTAATATGCATTTCAGTTTCCTTCATGTCTTTTCTGGGCTTGATAGCTCATTTCTCTCTAGCTCTGAATATTATTCCATTGTCCAGAAGTACCACAGTTTATCCACTCATCTACTGAAGGATATCTTGGTTGGTTCCAAGTTTTGGCAACTAAGAATAAAGCTATTATAAACATTTGTGTGTGGGTTTTTGTAGGCATATAAATTTTCAGCTCTTTTAGGTAAATACCAAAGACTGTGGTTGCTGGATTATGTAGTAAATGTTCAGTTTTCTAAGAAACTAACAAATTGTCTTTCAAAGTGGTTGTACCATTTTGCATTTCCACTAGCAATGAATGAGAATTCCTTTTGCTTTATATCCTCGTTAGCATTTGGTTTTGTCAATGTTCTGTATTTTAGCCATTCTAATAGGTGTGTATCTTAATGTTGTTTTAATTTACATTTCTCTGATGACATACGATATAAAGTATCTTTCCGTATGTTTATTTGCCATCTTCTTTGGTGAGGTGTCTGTTAAGATCTTTGGCCCATGTTTTAATCAGGTTATTTGCTTTCTTATTGTTGAGTTTTAAAAGTTACTTGTATATTTGGATAACAGTCTCTTATCAGATAGAGTTTTGCAAATACTTTCTCCCAGTCTATGCCTTGTCTTCTATTCAATTCCCTTCAAATTGTCCTTTGGAGAGCACAGAGTCAAGGGGGATGGGAGGATGAGGGGAAAAGGTAAAGGGGACTGACAAGCACAAGCTTCCAATGATAACAACAGTCATGGGGATGTAAAGTGCAGCAGAGGGTAGATAGCCAGTAATGCTGTGATAACCATGTACGGTGCTACATGTACACTAGACTTAAAGTGATGATCACTCTGTAATCCCCATGTTGTACACTGGAAACCAATATTGTATGTCAGCTATAATTAAAAATAAATTAAAAAAAATAAAAAGTTGTCATCAAACACAAGGTCATCTAGATTTTCTCCTCTACTATCTTCTAGGAATTTCATAGTTCTGGTTTGGTGATCCATATTGAGTTAATTTTTGTGAAGAGTGGAACGACTGTGTATAGATTCATTTTTTTTTTTTTGGTCATGGGTCTTTTTCTTACCTCTTACTGTAGTTATTTTCTCAGATTTATCTCTAGGAAAATGTTCACATTTTCCCTAATTGCTCTCATGCATTTGATCTTGTAGCTTCTCCTGTCTTCTAGAATGGTCCTCAAACACCAGTCCCTGGACTGGCTGCACCAGAATCAGCCAGGTGCTTGTTACACATACAGCTCCATGGATGCCCCAGAGATCAAAACTTCTGGGATTCAGAACTTTCACATAACTTGAAGCAGAGAATCATATTTAAGGATTCTAGGGGATTCTGAGGAGCAGACAACCTTGGTGATCATGATTCTAGACCACGCTGATGATATTTACACTTATTTCTTCAGTCAATCCCAATGGTTTCCTGAGCTGCAACAGAAGTATACCCTCTTATTCTTGACCTTGAACAAGCCATTGTTACTAGAAGAAAAGGGTCTGTCTGCCTGTATGCATCAAAGCCAAATAAGACATGAACATGTGTTCGCAGCCAAGAAAGTGAGGATTTATTAAAAAGGAGATGGCACCATGCCCAGAGTCACAAGTAAGCTACTGCTCAAAGACCTGGCTCCCCAGTGGCTTCCGGCGATGGATTAAATAGGGGGGAAGAAATATCCATCCCTGTGACTAACAGAGTTAGGGTGGTGGTCTCTACTGACTGGTTGGTGCTAGGGTAGGGGGTAATGGATCATTGCATCTGGTCCTGACGTCAGCCATGGAGTGGTTCTGTCCGACTTCCCAAGAATCTGTTTTGTGTGATGGTCCTGCTTTCCTGGGTCTGGAGCTAAAATGCAACGGAGGCCAAGATACTACATTTAATTTGATTGCAAACTCTGTCTCAATAGTCAAGCGATCCAGGAGCTCGTTTCTAAGACTACTGGAGGCTGACCAAAACCTCATGGTCCCGAGGGAGTAGTGATTAAGCAAGGGAGAGGGAGGTGGGTGAGTCAGGACACTGGATGGGGCCAGTTTGAATCAAAGGGAAAAAATCAAAATTAAAGAAAAATAAGGTTCCTGCACAGTTACACCATTTCGAATCTCTCGGAGAGTTTTTCTCATTTGTAAAGTAAGAATAACATTTTCTCCCATCCTGAGTTGTTGGGGAATTAGATACTGCACTCTTCTGACTCCACCATTGACACAGCACTCAATAAAAACCAGCTGTTATTACTTTCTGTCCTCCATAACACTTAGCAAGTGGTATTAGAGGTCTTTCCAGACGGGACTCTCTCTCTCCTCCAGACTGTGAGCTTATTAGCAGCAAAAACATGGCATTGTTCATCAGTGTCCACCAGCGTCCAGCACATTGTAGCTATTTGACAAATGCCTTGCCTGGACGACAAATAAATAACTGAGTTAATCAGTTATTCATATAGGCTGTCACAGAACATTTTTAAAATACGTCTTTGTGTGTGTGTGTGTGTCTTTAGGGAGGAACAAAAGACGCATAGTTGTGGCAAGAATAAGAAGACGCCAACTACCTTTCTTGTAAAGTACAGCATCTTTCCTGTTACAGCCCAGAAAAACTGGAGCAAGTCTGTTGTTAAATCTGTGCCCCTTCTTATTTTTCTGCAGTATGACCCCTGACAGTTTTGCCCTTTTGACATTCCTTTCTGGGCACTAAGCTTTAGCCACGGTCACCAAGGAAACAGGAGAGATGCCTCATTCCTCACAGCTCTGCATGTCTAAACTCTGGTTGGCCAAATTCTGTGTGTGCACGCCATTAAACCAACTGTCTTCTATACAGAACTTTATCCGTTTTTCTACCTTTGAAGGAAAAAAAAAGATGTCTAACCATTTCTTTTCTTGGGAATGGCCTTTTCCCAGACCTGTCCATAATCTTAAATGCACCAGACATTTTTGGTCCCTAGGAGCAAAGACAAAGATTGCCTGTTTAGCCTTTGTGGTGTGGGCAATATAAGTGTGGGTCAATTTTAAAGCACGCAACAGAGCGTGCATAATGGGTTTCTCTTTTAAAAATACAGTAGGCCAAAAATAAACCTGACAAAGGGCAGCTGTAGAGTTTTAACATGTGGAAAACAGGCGGCAGTTATGTAACTAAAAAGAAACATGATAAATATTTCACACTATTAGATGAACTCCCAACTGCAACACGTAAAAAGCAAAGGACACAGAACACAGCTTAACTCTCCGAGAGGCAAAATGCTTACACGCAAAAAGGCCCAAGGCTATTACTAAAATCTGATGCCTGCCTTCCAGCACGAATCTTGCTCGTTTTTCTTTTCTTTTTTCTTTTTTCTTTTTTTTTAACCCTCGTGTCCAAGGCAGATCCGGCGAACCCCATCTCCCAAGAGCGCCACCTCGACTGCTTCGCTCCACGCCAGAGAATTTCCAAAAATCTGGACCTTTAGGCTGCAAACCCAAAAAGTTCTGTGGCCAGGAGGACGGAGAGAGGAGTTGCAGCGAACCCGCGCGCCCCACCCCGCTCCCGGGGGCCGCGCCTCCCGCCCCGGCTCCTCGCCCGGAGGACAGCTGGCAGCCCCGCGCAGGACCAGACACAAAGCCGATCAATCCGGGCGGCGCGGGGGTGGGGGACGACCCAGCGGGGCTTCCCTTGCACTCCTCGCCTCCTCCGGCCCCCTCAGTAGGACCCAGCCGACACCTAGTCTGGCTTCCACCGCCCGCCCCCTCTAACCGCCCCCCCCCCAAAAGCCCAGACCCCCCCTATCCCGGGGCTAGGGGAGACCTGCCTTACGCGGCCAGCAGAGCAAGAGCCCCAAGCCGGGAGAAACTGACGTCGCCGCAGGGTCGGTCAGTCCCCTCCCACCTCCTCCCCTTCCACAGCTCCACGAGTCTCTCCTCCCCCCCAACCCCAGAAGTTCGGGGGGGCCCTCTCGGCCTCCCGCGCTCCGGCCGCCGGAACCTCAGCCTCCGCGGAGCAGCCACCTCGGCCCGGGAAGATGGCGAGAAGGAGCGGCCCCCGCCTGCTGCTGCTGCTGCTGCGCTACCTCGTAGTCGCCCTGGGCTGTAAGTTGCTCGGGTACCTGCAGTCTCCTACCCGCTCGCGCTGGGACCCGGTCCCCTGGCCCTCCGGCGCCAGGAGCGGCGCTCGCGCGGGGCTGTCTGCGGCTCCGGGCAGAGGGTCCGCCGCGGGGCAGCGGACTCCGCACCCTGCGGGCGGGGAATCGGGGAGTCCGCGGGGCGGGCGCGCGCGGGGCGGGGTGGCGGGCGCGGGGCCCGAGGCTTCTGTTTATAGTCGGTACCCTCTGATCTGGTCAGTTCTAGTTAGAGAACATTAGGGATCCACGCCAGCAGGTTCTTATCTCCTGGAAAAGTTGGGTTAAGTTTTCAAAGACCCAGGGGACGTGACCAGAAGGCAAATCTCACTAACTCCTTAAAGATGCTAAGATCCCAAGATGGCATCAGTTGGAGGCCGGCGCCGGCCACTCCAATTGCGGGCGCGCGGGGCAGAGTCGTAATCCCGAGGGCCCCCGGCGTGTCGGGAGTATGCGGGGCACTTGTGCGGCCGGGGTGCGGGGAATTCGTCTGCTGAGTCAGAATCACTTTTATTCTCTCCACAAGCACATCTCCAGTAAGTTCAAGTCTGGTCTGGGGACCCTAGCCAGCCGCGGTGCCCTCAAGGGGACGCCTGAGCGGACGATTGTTAGAAAGATGCTGAAGCTGAATTGTTTGAGTATCGGTGGAAGGCAGGAACGCGTCCCCAAACCACTGTCACAGGATGGTTCTAAACAGAATTTTCAAGGATTCTGGGCTCAGGAAATTCAAAATCCCGGGAACGTTTCCTATTTAGAAAATTACATTAGATCTTAAAAGCACTTAAGCAATGAAGTCCTTTTTCTTTTGTTTTTCCTTCTGGTCGTTTCTCTTTCTTTTTTTCTTAAAAAAAAAGTAGAATGAGTTGTTATTCAAATTCTGGCAATATAATAGTTAAAATAACCTGCCGGGCAAAAGCGTCTGATACCACAATACCACTTTTTCTCGCACGCTCATTGCTGAAGTGAGTGTTGTTGCTCAGCTCAACGTGATGTGAGCTTTGTCCGGTAGGGAGCGAGGCAGGTGCAGGTTGTCTCAAAGAAGGGACCGGTGCTGACCTATATAATAGAAAAATCAAACTGGGAAGGCAAGGCTTCAAAAATCAAACCATTATGTAATTTTGAAATATCAATTGGTGGCATGTTGAAGGCACAGAGAAACAAAATGCACTAATGCTGAAAGGCAACAAAGAGGCAGGCTGGAGGAATTGTAACGAAACTCCTGAGAAAGTTACGGGTTTGTTGACCATCCGAAATGTCAAATAAAAAAAGATTGCGACTTTAGTATAGACTTGTCACTGGTTTGAAATGGAGAAAACCGTTTTATTCTGCTATTCTCATTCAGTAGTCAGAATAGAACCAATACACCCTAAGTGTGAAATTGTAGCCAAGAGACAACCAGCACAGGCTTCCAGGGGTGGGCAGAATAACTTCTTCCTCAGGCTTTGGGTAAATCTAACACTTGGGCTCTTCCCACCGTGACTCCTATAGGGAATTAATGTGAAAGTGTGTGGGGATCTTTTTACATTGTTCCTTGGGTGCCAAAAGGTCTAGCATTGCAAGAATGTTTTCTTTTCTTTGTCTTTTTAAAAAATAAACACTTTTATTTTATAATAGTTTAGGTTTAAAAAATTGCTAAGATAGTATAGAGAATTATATTATACTACACTCACTTTCTCTTATTATTAACATTTTTACATTAGTATGATACATTTGTTCCAATTAGTGAACCAATATTAATATATTATTATGAGCTAAAGCCCACACCTTATTCAGATTTCCTGCATTCTTACCTAATGTCTCCTTTTTGCTGTTCCAGGATTTCATCCAGGATACCTCGTTACATGTGATAGCCGTGTTTCCTTAGCCTCCTCTTAGTGGTGACAGTTTCTCAGACTTCTCTTGTTTCTTCCATGACCTTGACAGATTTGAGGTGTCCTAGTGAATTATTTTGTAGAATGCCTCTCAATTAGTATTTCTCTCTCTTTTTTTTAAGAACTAGACTTGAGTTAATGGGGGTTTCTGGAGGAAGAGCACAGAGTGAAAGTGGCATTTCCGTCACATCATCTTCAGGGTGCATACTGTGAACATGACTTATCTCTGCTACTGTGAGCCCTCCTCACCTGATTGCGGTAATGTGTATCAGGTTTCTCCCACAGGTTATCCCTTTATCCCTCTGTCCATACTGTATTTTTTTAAAGGAAAGTCGTTATATACAAATCACACTTAAGAGATGAGTTATGCTCCACATCCTTGAGGATGGAGCATCTCCATAAATTGTTTGGAATTCTTCTGTTTGAGAGATGTACCTACTCCCCCTCCACCATTCATTCATTCATTCATTCATTCATTTTTATGTCAGTGTGCATTCATGAACATTTATTTTATACCTTGATTTATCATCTGGTACTATTTTATTAATTGTAGTGCTCAGGTTACTTTTGATTTGGTCGCTGGGAGTGGTTTCCGTTGGTTCCTCTGCCCCTGTGACGGGGCCGCATCACACACACACAGACACGCATGCACACACTTTTGTTTTCAGTATTTCTTTACTTTCTGGGACCACAAAAGCTCCAGGCTGATCTTGTATATTTCCTGCTGCAGTCCTAGAATCGGCCACATCTCCGAAGAACCCTGGTTCCTCTTGTTGGAGAATAGAATTGGAAACCCAAGTCTGGGCAGTCGGTATGCTCATTGCTATTAGGCTGTTGTTGAAAACATGAATGTTTTTCAGGGCTAAGTTTCACTCTGTAGTCCTGTTTGTGATCTGTCCACTCCGGTTTTATGTCCAGATCCAAAGACAGTGTGATGAAGGCTCATGTATATATCAGGCACTGTTCTAAGGACTTTCTTGTGTATTCTGTTTTTAAGGTCTCTACAAGTGCATGAGAAAGAATGTATTTTCAGCTTATAGAGAGAAGCTAAGTTCCTTGTCTAAGCTCACTTTTCTAGGCTGGAAAGAGATGGAACTGGGATTTAAAGGCTGAGAAGTTTTCGTAGATACCTGGGCTTCTTTCTATCTGAGTGCTTAACTCTTTGGCCATCTTTACTCAAGAAAAGAATGAAGTAGATTTAGTAGAATTAGTGGCTTTCTTAAGCTCTAATGATATTCACCCAAATATAACTACTGTGGGGGGGGCTCCGCCCACAGGGCCCCCCCCACCCCGCCCCAGCTGCAGATGAGAATAAGTCTACCAAGACATGATCTGCTTGGGGAGGAAAGGTGGCTGATCTCTCAAAGGAGAAGGGCCAGTAGCCTGTTCCTCAATGGGCTTTAATTGGGTTCATTTGCACAGGAATACAGATAAAGCTCATTAATCATTGTCAGGCAGTAAGGATCAAACTGGAGATAACAAAGAGCTCTGAGGGCCTATTTTGAGTCAGGGTCAGATAGCTAAAGAGCTGTAAAACTTTGAGGAACAAACTTACTTCTTGCTTGGACCCTTATCATTTAATTGAGAGCATTCTAAACAAAGAGGGTTTCACAGGATTTTACATATTCTTTCTTAGGCCTGATTGCCTGGGAACTCGCACTTTCCAGCACAGGGCTGCACCACCCTCTGTCATTGTTTCAGGCTTAAGTCAGGCAGGGGAAGTAAGGTAGCCAAGAGATTAGGAGACTTCTTAAAGACAGAATGAGGACTCAGGTTTTGTCAAAGCCGAGGGGCAGGGGTCTATCACCCCCTGTGGCTGTATCCCCCAAAGTCCTCCCCTGGGGGCCTCCCACGTGATCGTGCCTGTCTTAGGCTGTTCCCCCCTTTGGGGAATCTTACCTGTCATTGGCTAACTGACCAAGCACTGGGGGCCAGGCAGAGTGAAATAAAAGGAGCAGAAGCGGGCTCCTGCCAGGGAGATAAGCTTTGTCTCCTTAGTGGCTTACGGTCCAAGGTCACTCCCTCAGCCTTAGCCTTGGCAGGGGTTACAGCTTCTGAAACCACTCAGGGTGGTTCCCAACACTGTACCACTCTTTTGTCCCAATAGTACCATGTATAATGTCACGCTGATTCCATTCTTCCTTTTATTGCCGTGTGTCTTCCTTCATAGTCTGGAAGATTTTTGTTGTTACTGCTGTTATTTAAACTATGTTTTTAGTATATCTGTTGCTATATGGACATTTATTTGTGTGTTTAGTTGAATTATATTTTTATTTCTCACCAAAATGGAAGCTCCATATGGAAGAGAATTTCTTGATGCTTGCTCACCACGGGAGGTCCAGTGCTGAGCAGAGCGCCTGGTTAATAGTAGGTGTAAATGTATGCCTGTCGCTTTGGTAGGAAGGGGGTGAGGTGGAGTGGATGGAAGACACTGGAGGAAATGAGCGACTGTATTTTAAATCATGAAGCCCTAAGGTGTCTGTTTTCTCTGAAGTGACATTTAAGCTCGATACCTCAGAAAACAAAAGAAGTCAAGTTTAGTATGGGGGAGGGCAGGGGAAGAGATGGTCATGCATTCTGGAATCTTCCAAAAGAGTCGAGGAGTTGAGTGTAAATGAGACCTGTGGGCTGCTCTTAACTCTGCCTGGCTGGTAGCAGCCTGGGGTCCTCAGGTCCGGGCTGGAATGCAAGCCAGGCCACTTGGCCTGGATCATCTGTAATCGCTCATCAGCTGGTAAGGACTGTGGCGTGGGATTTTCTGTAAACTCGCAAGGGCCCTCCTGCGGGGTGGAACTGACCCAAACCACACTCCAGGCAACTGAGAAAATCCTTTCTGCCCTCTGTTAGCACTGTTAAAAACCACACTTCACAATGCGTGTGCTGAAGAGAACTGTTCTTATTATCTGTTGAACAGAAAGGTCAGAGTGGACTGGCTGGTAGACCTGTACCCATTTTGAGGCTGTGACAACAATGACGTTGAGAAGAAGACAAGCCCTTACTGGTGCGGCTCAGTTTGTTGGGCATCTCCCCGCAAAGTGAAAGGTCACTGGTTCGATTCCTGATCAGGGCTCATGCTTGGGTTGCAGGTCCAAATGGGGAC